CGTCACCTCTTTCTGACCTGGTGTGTTTAGAAACCTTCCGTCTACATGCAGGACTTTCTGGACCGCCACGCAGAGGCCGCGCTTGATGACCTGCTTGCGGACGAGAAGGGGCCGTTCAATTTGGTGTGTCAAGAATGCAAGACGGAGCTGGAGGAAGGGTCGGTAATGTACCGCTGCTTCGAGTGCTTCATGCCACCAGTTGTCTGCGAGGGCTGCATCATCCGTTCACACCGCCACAACCCTTTCCATTTCGTCCAAGAATGGGAGACGAGACGGCGGTTCTGGTTGCGGAAACCACTCACAGCCGTCGCGGGACTGGTGCTCGAATTTGGACACGGGGGCTACAGTTGCAGTTACTCAACCACTCCACCCAGACCGATGTGTATCATCTCCGAGCACGGTGTTCACGACGTGGCTGTCCGGTTCTGCGCGTGCAGGGACCGTATCAGCGACAAGCCTGCCCCCGAGGCTACTCAGCTACTGCGCCATGGGTTCTGGCCGGCTTCGTGGGACAAACCGCATACTGCCTTCACGATTCCTCTACTGAAATTATTTGCGCTGCTATGCCACCAAGCCAATGTCAGTGCGTATGATTTCTACAAAGTCATGCGCCGCAAGACGGACAACATAGAGCCGCACGAAGTAACGGTATGGAATTATAACAGTTTGGAGATATGTCGAATTGCTGATAAGCAGGAACAGGATCGATACCGTGAATTTATGACTGCGGCACGGACTTTTGACCACATCACCAACCTTAAGCGTCATGGGAGAAAGGTTCGCGAGCTTGTGTACGCGTCGCTCGCTATTCTATGTCCCGCATGCCCTCAGCCAGGCATCAACATGGAACCAGGGTGGCGATCGAGAGCGGAGGACCTGAGGTGCGAGCACGACGTACCAGCTGTACACTACTGCGCTAACGAAACTTAGATTCTTGGACGCCCTTTTCTATGCCATTGACGGGAACTTCCACGCGAACCTGAAAGATAAACGCATGGACGTAGAAGACTTTCCGCTTTCGAAAGGAGCGGCTTACTTCGCCGACGAAGATGCGTTCGCAGGTTTCAGTGCCAAGCTGCCCCCACTGGGGCCAGAGGTGCGTGACGGCGCTCGGTCGAGGCTGGCGACTGAATTGGCTGATCCTGTATCTAGCCCAGCACTTGTCACAAGTTCGAGGCCATGGGATACGGCCCTTATTGGGGGAAAGTCTCCGGAACGGTGGGCCTCTTCTGCGCGCGACACATGATAGTGTTACCAGGGGGGCATGTGGACTTGCAGAAGGGTGAACGGTGAGAGTTGAACAGCAAGTGAGGACGTCCAGCATGCTGAAACGCCGTGCACAGGTTTGTCAACGTCGATTTCGCTTCCGCTTCCGGGCTACAGCGATGGATGGACCTGTTGCTTCACTACTCCGCCTACGATATCAACTGTCAGTATCGGCTGTACTTCGAAAAGCGGATGAAGGAGCTATGGGAGATGCGAGAGCAGATCGACGCCATGAAAGTCATACCAGAAAAGCCGTTCCCCAAGACGGTAGCAGGCGTCGGGAAATTCCATGCGTTGGGCCATAACAAAGACTGCAGAGCGAAGTGGGGTATCGGCCTACAACCGGGGGGTAACCAGGTTGACGGCGAAGCACCTGAACGAGTGTGGCCGTCCATCAACGCCTTGGGAAATCGGGTGCGAGAAATGAACCCGGGGAACCGCCACGACCACATGAACGCGCAATACAGCGATCAGAACATCCGACGGGTTCAGAAAATGCGTACGTGCGGCCTTTTCCTGCGCCACGGAGTAGGACTAATCAAGGATATCTTATAGCTGCGTCGCTGGTCAAGAAACTCAAGGAGGGGAGGCTCCATCTTCCAAGGATCACGAAGGCTCTTGACAGTTTGGAGGGGGCTCTCGTGAAGTTTCGCGGGCAGGAGTTGCTGGATGGCTGGAGGAAAGAGGAGAAAGAGTGGCTGGAGAAGGTTGTGATCGTGGAAGAGAAGAAAAACCTGCCGAACCCTTATGATCTTGTGCAGCCGTCCGGTACGTGCAGACCAATGTGGTCGGTGATTGCATTATACTGAGAGCCGCACAGCGAAATCTATGAAAGAGATAGAAGAAGAAATCAAACAGAAGTTTGCGGATGCTCAGTACGGAGTAGATCTCGCGGGAGTTATCCAAGAAGGGATCGCCTTGCAAGAGACTAAGTTCGTGCGCTGATGATAGATAACAAAACTTCACTAACTACGAGTTGCTTAGGGCCTCAATCTTTGATGCGATCGCGCGACACGATGGCGAAGATCACGTCGCCGACATGCAGAAGAAGTTCGAGAATCACTGGATGTCATGGTGTAATCGGCACGGGACGACCATGGGGCCTCTGATCGCACGAGCCTCGAACGAGGGGAAATCCGAGGTCGCGGACAACCTGGGAGACCAAGAGGCTGATCGGTTGGATGAGGACTCCGATGACGATCCGGATTTCGAGCCAGATGAGGATACCGGGGGCTCGGATGACGACTCGGAGGATGGTCTGGGCAACAGCTCTGACTCTGACGGCGACGACGACAGGAAGAACGACCCCGCGGACGACCTCGACGAGCTCTTGGACGAACACGCTCCGTACAATGTAGATCCTCGTACACGTGCCCCACGGAAGACGGGCAAGGGGAAAGGGAAGGGGAGAGCGAAGGGCTCTCGAGTCACGGGCAAGCGGCGGCGTGGACCTCTCCAGCCCCTTCGAGAACGCCGGTCGCCCCGCTGGCAGGCAGCGGATGGTATCCCGGTCATCCTGCCCTCTTCCTGCCCAGCGTCCGTGCGCGAAAGACCTTGCATGGCCTCGGCGGTGGAGATCGAGATCGCCCTCCGTGTAGGGCAAGCTAACGACGCTCTGAATACGCTGCGGACGCAGCTGATCACGAGCTATACTTTCCGGAATCGGGTGGCGAAACGTGACAAGCGGGT